CTGCTGGCACTGCCGCCAGGACCGCTGAAGGCTGGCCCGGGAATTCCAGCATCGCACTGCTGCGGCGGCGGCGCTTGGATGGGGGCTCTGGCTCTGAATGGCACAGGGGCGGCGAGGCGAGTTGGTCCCTCGTTCACTCGTCTCTGGCCGCAACGGCCAGGCGGCAGGCGCTGGCTCGCGCACAGGAAGCACAGACACCTGGCCACCTGCATCAGACTTCTCGTCGCCAGCAGGCTGGGGCGTCGCCGCTGCGCCGGCCGCCACGGCTGGAGAGCAGACCTGTCGGGCAGCGGGGAGCAGCAGGAAGGGCAGGGGACGCTTGTTAGCAGCACTGCACTTGCTGGCCTGCACGCTGGCACGCAGCACGGCGCACCTGGGCGGCTGCCGCGGCGGCGTCGGCCAGCTCAGCGAGGCGAGCAGGCGCTGCGGGCTCCTTGGCAGCCGCCTTGGCCTCGCGGCGGCGGTGCGCGGCGAGCGGTGGCGCTTGGGCCGACATCATCCGCGTTGCCTGGACGGACCATTCTGCTGAGCGGCGCCCTTGGGAACGCCTGCATACCAGCAGCAGGCAGGGTGGAGCAGCCAAGTTTGAACACGTTGAGGGTCTGCTTTGCCGTCAGCCAGCCGTTTGTACCAGTTCCCCAAGCGTGGCCAGCAACCTTGAAAGGGCAGCAGGCCTGAACGAGCAGCAGCAGGAGGGATTGCCCTCCCAAAGCGGTGTTCAAAGAGTGGCAGGGCTGCTCTGCAGGCCTACTAGCGCCAAAGGGTGTGTTGGAGAAGCAGGAAGGGCATCCCTCGCCTGGCCAGCGCTGACGCCACCGCAGCGTCCCGCCAGCGAGGAGTACAACTTTGGGATGAATTTTTGGATTATTTGTAATGGGTTGATTTGGAAATGGGGTGGATGCAAGCTGCTGGCACTAGGAGGGCAGCATGGTGCTGGCAGACGCGTCTCTGAGGTAGACCCGGCCCAAGGCGCCGCCGTTAACGGCAACGTTGCCGCGCAAGGTGAGATGGATGGCAGCGGCGGGGGACCCCACACCCTGCTGCCTTGCCATGCATGCTGCTCCAGGTATCCCATCAGCTCATCGGCAGCCGCAGTACGCCGGCAGCATGCAGCTCACGGGGACGGCACGCCCTCCCTCCTGGACCAGCCGTTGCGCTGGCTGCGCCCCTTTGCCTGCCTGGCCGGTGCTGACTGCCCGCCGTCCTGCTGTGTGTGCTGGGCTGCTCTGGGTGGCAAGTGGAGGTGGACCAAGGCGGCGGTGACGATACCGGTACCAACGTCAACGCCATCCTGCTGTGCTGCCCCTGCTGAAGACCTGCCGTGCTGCCCCCCTCGACACCCCCAGCCGATCCGAGTCGGCCTGGCGCTCATTGTCAGTCTGTGGCACCCTTACGGAGCAAGTGCATGCTGCGGGTCGGCACCGCTGCAGTGCAGTGGCGGGACGAGGCCCCCTGGCACCTGCAGTGCCACAGCCGACCCGCCCACGTCCTTTGGTGCACTTTGCCGGCCGGTTGTTTATCCTCCTTTTTTATTCTTCTTATGCTAATTCTGTGTGTAATTGCAGAAGCCAGGTAGGCCTCCCGGTAAGGATGTGCCCCATGATGGGCATGATGGCCCCCCACCTGGAGGGTCATTGGGGACATCATCCTCAATCATGCATCATTCTCCCTCCCGTTTGTTCTGTTGGCATCCCAGCAACCGTAATACGCTTTTCCAACGAACTCAACCCCCATGAGCACACATGAGCATGGTGCCCAGTCCGGCAGCAAGGCTCTAGGTCCAACGCCGCTATTGAGCGGTGCAGCTAACCAAGCTAAGCAGCTGAAGTCGCGCTTCAACTCGTGGGAAAGGTTTTGTGAAGCACATCCACAGGCGCGCGTCGCCATCGCCGTTCAGTCAGGCTACTCCCACGAGATCAAGTTCTTTTGCCATTCCATCGTGTTCTGGGAGGAGTTCAAGGACTTCTTCACTGAGCGGTGCGCCGCCGCCGGCAGCCGCTCCGAGCGGTCGCGGCTGAAGGGCGAGCTGGGCAAAGCAGGCATTGATTTCAGCAAGTTTCTGGCTTTGGCAATAGACCTGTGGAAGGCAGAAGGTGTTATCTCTCAGTTACAGGCAGATGTCATGA